GACCAAATGATGTAGTACGAGGGTCGGCTGATAAGTAATATACACTCGCTTGTATCTCCAGAACAAAAGCAGCTACCGAAATCAAATACAAAGGAAATGAAAGTACAATTTATTAGCTACAAAATACAGTATTTATTTTTCAACATAATCGCCGGTATTTAACATAAGGCAGCAGTGAAGTCTTTCATCAAAAGTAGGCCGGCAGAATTCTTCGTTGGCAGAATAAGAAAACTTGTTACGCGTTGGCAAAAACGTATCGAATTTAAGGGGGTCTTCTAGTGTGACGGCCGTTTTTTTAAGTCTTTTTTGCTAATTTATTACAGAAGTACGGTAACAGTGTTTTCGTCTGAATGCGGTGCGTTGACGTTATGTATTGTTGAATTAACAGTAAGTCAAATATCAATGTGATTTCTGAATTCAAGGTCATAGTATATTACGTCGTTGAATTCATCTTGACATCACCTATAATACTATAAACTTACAAAATACATAGCCCCATTTAAAGAAATTATGGTGACCTTCATTTTTTACTGAAAAGAAATGTTTTGGCTATTTTTAAATCTGCAATTTCTTGTCGACTGAGTACTGACTAAGTTTTGTGCACCACATTTTTTGTTAGATGATCGGAAATGCCAAAAAAATTGTGAGGACTGATTCATAACGCACCCTGTATAGAAAATAGAATAGAAAATACAATAGAAAAAATTGGAGGAGCAGTTTTGCATTCGTTCTTTACGTTCTCCAGTTGGCCAACAACAAAAATGTACTATTATGTGAAGGATTATAAAAAAGCCCGAAACGTAAGAAGAAAAATACTATTATGTTGCTTACGAAGTTTATTGTGAGAATATGTTTCTTTAAATTTAAATACAAAATGCACGTATGTACTGTCCGACAAACCTAAAGTGAAGTCTCAGGCGGGACTTAGGGCCTAGAAGTAGGAGATGTAGGGGAACTTACGATGGCTCGCTGTTAGCAAGCCAATAGGGATAGAACAAGGCTATCGCACGTATGTAGGGGAACTTACGATGGCTCGCTGTTAGCAAGCCAATAAGGATAGAATAAGGCTATCGCACTTACTCTTCTATGAACGATAGACGACGATCGGGCCTCGTTCAAGTAGTCGATAATTGACCGGAATGATATTTTCAAGCGCTCGAAAAAAAATTAAGTTTATATACGTCGCGCAGACACCATAAACAGGCGAACAGATGCCTGCGCGACGCCAAACGACCTGCATCATGGTAAACTTTATTTTTTTATCCCATGTTCCCAAAATTTCTCTATTATTTCGATAAGCTTATTTTACTTTTATTTTATTTTAGGTTAAAATTCGAGCAATTCAATGGTATTTTTTCAAAATTATTCTACGAGTGGGAACAGTCAAATTAGCAATTGAAACTTTAGCAGCGATTATTGCTATGTTTATTGCTACGAAACGAGCCCAAGGTCGAAATATTATATTTAAACAAAGCCGAAATATTACGGTTAAAGTGACGACATGTCGTCTGATTTTGTCAAATTTTTCAAAATTTTAACATTAAATAGTGGCTGTTTG